CGGGACGCGGGCTCACCGTGGGCCGAGCGTCGGGCCGGCGTGACGTGAGCGCGGCGCGGTGACGTGGGCGGCAGCGGGCCCGCTCCGCGCAGCGCGCCTGCGCGCCTTTTCGCGCCTTCGGCGCCCTCCTCCTCCTCCTCCTCCTTCTCCTCCTCCTCCCGCCGCAGATCTCCCGCGCCTCCCGCCGGTGCTACGCGCCCTGGGGCAGGGGAGGGGCCTACGCGCGCGTGCGCGTGCAGCGGGCCTCGGCTGGAGACCGCCTGCATAGAAGGGCACTGTGCGCGCCTGTGTGTGCGCGCATGGAGAGGAGCCACGTGTTTGCGCATCTCTGTGTGTGTACACCATCCGTGTGCATGCGCGTGGAGTTGAGGGCCACGTGTCTGCCTCCCTGTGTATGCACGAAAGGCCACGGTGTGTGCCAACCTACATGTACGTGTGGGAGAACATGTGCACACCTGTTATGTGCAGAAAGGCTGGCAGCATGCACGTGTGTGCATGGTTATGTCATGCGTGTGCACGCTTGAATATATCCACATAAAAGAACACTGTGCACACATAGTTATGCTTGTGTCTACTCTGTGTTCACATACCTGTACACACAAAAAAGAACAGGTATGTGTGTGTACATGGAAGGGCCAGCTATATACACATGAAGAAAAAGAGGAAGCCAGGTGTGGGTGTCTGTAAAGTGCCAGCATGTGCACCTGAGGGAGAGGAGTCCCTGTGGTTTATGTTTGCACAGGACAAAATGTAGGCTTGTATACACATAGCTGTGTCCTGAACACTCAGGACCCTTGCCACTGCTCAACTGTTGACCTCTGGCCTGAATTCAAGTTCCCAGTGATCCAGGGCATAAAGCAGCCTGAAGGAGGCTGGCAGTAAAAGAAGATGTATGCTTGCTCCTCTCCAGAATCTGTCTGCTTCATACCAGGATGGGCCTTGTAGACCTGAGCCCTGAAAACTTAGGCCACCATGCCCTAGGGCTAAAGCCAGAGGGCCTTGGCAGAGAACAGGCTAGGCATCCTAAGTCAGTCCAAATGGGATAGATAAATGACCCACCTCTCCATAAGGGTATTTTAGGCTAAGAGCAGAGCACTGTTGATGTGAGTGATAGGCTATTAATGTAAGCACCCTTTAAATGTTTACATTTCCTTTAAATAAGCTAAAATGTAGGAAGCCAGACTCCCTAATTGGTAGATGCTTCTCTGGTGTCTGGCTGCCTTGAGCACAGGATTCAGCCAAGCACCCTTCTTTGGCACCTGGCTAGGTTGTCTTCATGGCTGCCATCTTGCTTTTAACATTCCTCAGATGCTTTGAGGGAGCTACCCTGCAACCACAGCTGCTTGTTGCCAAAGGTTCCAGAAGGCACTGTCCAAGGCAAGACTGTTTCAAATAGCTTGCACCGGACTTTTTACCATTGCAAGCCTTGGAAAACTCCAGTAGCCAGTTTCCCCTATAGCTAGACATGGCAGCAGCTGGGAAACTCTGAAGACTTCCAGAGACTGTGTGGGACAGGAACAACAGGATTCAGAGAGATGGAGACAAGGGACAGCAGAAGTAAGGAGAAGTTGAAAGAAGAGCCAGGATCAAAGAAGGCTGTGAGGAACCAGAGAAGAGAAACTGGCCACCAGTCACTGGAAGAGTTCTAGGGAGCTGCCAAGCCTTAAGTGGTAAGGGTCTCATTCTAGGACTGAAAGCTGTAAGACTAGCAGCTCTCAAGGGTTGAGGGTCCCAACACTCTGGATTCTAAAGCTGTAGCTTATAGTCTCCTTAATCCTTTAGGAGCTGAGTTTCCCAACACCCAAAGCCCATTCAGAAGCTGCAGCACTAGCAGACAGTGCCTGTTGCTGCTGCTGGAAACAGGATTACAGACGTTGCCAAGAGATATGACTGTTGGTGGTTAGTTCTGAACAATATAAGCCTCCAACCTGATCCATAAGTTTCTGGCTTCTAAAACCTAAAGCAACAGGCCCCTAGCTCTCAGGGAATACAGCTTAAAGCCTCTGGATCTTCCAGTTAAGTCCATAGACCATGGGCACTTAAGGTCCAGGATTACTAGCATTGGAAAATTTCTGTCCCTGCTCGTGTGTCTGAGTAGAGCAGAATGACCCCAGCCAGCTGATTAGTAATACAGAGGTCAGAGCTACACCAAGTGCTGGGCTAATTAACATTTGTGAAGAGCTTTGAGGAGCACAGACCAAAGGCCTCACTCAGTATATGCAACATATTATTACTGGACACCCCTACTTTGCATGGCTTCACAATTAACCACCTTTATGCTGACTATGCCTGTCCTACCTTTCCAGCTATGCTCCGCCTTCTTAAGCTACCATTTAATTAACATTGGTTATGTGTGTTAGAATCCAAGTCATGCAAAGGGGCCTTTAAGTGGCTGAGAGTCCTCCAATTCTCCAGCTCCCTTCCCCATCCCAGGTATCAGGAAAGCAAATGTGGCATCCTGGCCTCTAAGTACAAGGTGTGACTTTAGATGCCAACATCCTTCAATTTGCATTTGTTTATTTCAGATCAGTGAGCAACTGAATTCAGTTCACTGGGGGATTCAGAGGGTCCACAAGGCATTCTGGAAGCCAGATGAACAGGAATTGCAAATGGATGGTGAGAATAAAGAAAAGGAATTTGGGCTGAGCAACAGGGCCAGAGAACACATGAAATGGGTAGTCTTGAGAACCTCCTTGGATGGATTAATTTCCAGGTTTCTACGATGAACAGACCTGCTTCCGGGAAGATGAGTAACTAGAAAGCACTACAATAACTAGATTCCAAATAAGATATACTCTTCAATGTGTGTATTAGTTACTTTTTACTGTGAAACAACACTAGACAGATAAAACTTAAGGGAGGAAGGGTTTATTTGGGCTCATGGTTTCAGAAGGTTCAGTCTATGGTCATTTGGCCCCAAGCGCTTGAACAGAATATCATGGTGGAAGGAGGCTGTGGGCAGAAGAGAGCTACTTCACTCCTTAAGAAGCAGAGAGACAAGCAGGATAGGACACATCCATCCTGCAGGGAAGTCCATTAAGACTCAGGATGATCTAAGGAGAGTTTCCTTAAGACTCAGGAAGTAACAACTCAGAAGCTTCAGGAAGTCCCTGAAACTGCACTAAGCTCCTCCCTCCCCAAGCTTATATAAGCAATAAGCACTGCTCAGAGGCATTCTCAAACCACTAGAGGTACCTGGAAGAGGCTCAGAACAACTGAGATCCCTGGAAAAGACTCTCCTGCCTGTTCAGCTGTCTACAAGTTGTGCAGTGAGTTCCAGGTTCCCAGCTTTTGTGAACTGTCACCCATGCTAGGGTGGGCTTTTGCTGATGCAGCTGTCTCTGAGTCATTTCTGCTCTTGTAAGTAACCCCAATAAAACTCATTAGCTCACCAAGTTAGACTTTGGTGGTATCCTTACTTTGGTCTGTCGCCTGGGGTGAGTATGCTTTTGTTCACATCTCCCCACGAATAATGTCACACAACAGGAAGGAATCAGGATAAGATTAACCTCAAGGACATGTCCCCAGTGACATACTTACTATATAAACTCCAACCTTTCACATACTCCCAATAATGCCATTATATTATGACTCCCATCAAAGGATTAACCATTGATCAGATCAGAGCCCTCAGGTCTCTGGAAATGCTCTTAGAAATCCCCAGAGGTGTTCTTCACTAATATCCTAGGTATTTCTTAAGCCAATCAATCACGGGAGCTGGGGAAATGACTCAGCGGGTAAAGTGCTTACTATGCAAGCAAGAGGGCCCGAGTTTGGATCCCCAGCACCCATGTAAAAATCCAGGAATAGTGCTAGTGCACTTGAAACCTCATGGCTGCAGGAGTGGGAAGGGGCAGAGACAGGCAGATCTTTGGAGCTCACTGAGCTCCAGGTTCAGTGAAGAGGACCTGTCTGAAAAATAAGGTGGAGAATGATAAAGGATGACCACTGGTCTCTACACACATGCCCACACACATACATGCAAACACATAATAAACGTGCACGTGCATACACCACACACATAAAGAAAATTAACATCACACTGTGCTATTTCTCTCAGAGTGTAGGAAATGATTCAGGATCCTGCCGCTCCTGTCTGGGAAGGTATTCCTTGTGATTTAAGAAGAGTGCTGTTCATATGGCCACTGTGAGGTATGACCTGTACCAGCTTGTTAGCTCCAGAACTTTGCCCTCTGAGTGTTTCCAATACTGAAAGTAAGCACTGAAGAGCCCTACTATGATTCTTGAGTGTGTGCCCCTCCCTTCTGCTGTTTGCTGTATTTAGAAGCTGTAGAGTTTAGTACAATATATAATTATTACAACATCTAGTGGAATTGTTCCTTTTAGCAACTGGCCCTTTTATTTTATTTTCAAATTTTTAAAAATTTATTTGTATTTTATGTGGTGCCTGCAGGGGCCAGAAGAGGGCACTGGATACCCTGGAACTGGCATAATGGATGGTTGTCAGCCTCCAGGGAGTGCTGGGAACCAATCTCAAGTCCTCTGTGGGAACAGCAAGTGCTTTTAACTGCTGAGCCATTTCTCCAACCCACAACTGGTCCTTTAATACCATGTTCTTTGTCTCCTGTGACAATTTGGGTTTTGTTGTTGTTGTTGTTGTTGTGTTGTTGTTGTTGTTTTTGAGATAGCATCCCTATAATCCTAGCTGGCCCAGAGCTATGTAGACCAGCGTTGCCCTCAGTCTCACAGAGATCCACCTGCCTCTGCCTCTGCCTCTGCCTCTGCCTTTGCCTCCTGAGTGCTAGAATTAAAGGCGTGCATCTCCATACTGGCCCTCCTGTGACAGTTTTCAACAGTCTGTCTCTCTTGATATGGGTACAGCCTCCCTCTCCTTTGCTCATTATTTGCACTGATCTCTCTCTCCCTCATTTCACTTTCAGACAATATATGTTCATGGATTGTATTTTATAGACAGCATATACTGGGATCTGCTCCCCCCCACCCGCCCAGTTCTTATCTTTTTATTAACTCATACACAGTCATTTGTCTTCTGGTTTGTTAAAGCAGTCAGACAACACTTGTCACAATGTCTGTCAAAGTGACTGGCCATGAAAACTCTAGT